GGTCTGTGTGCTGTGTCTGTGCAGGCTGCTGCAGAGCCTTTTTTGGGAGGGCGGTAGGGAATAGGCCTGAAGGGGAATTTAGGATGTTGACAAATGCTCCTGCTTTGCTGTTGGGGAAACTGCCAGGAGGACACCCTGGTTTCTCTGAGAGGCTGGCTCTCCCTTTGTGGGGACAAGCTGTCTCGTTTGGATAGCTTCTTTCACTGCTCAGAGTGACCTGGCTCAGACAATCAGGCCTCTCATGGGGCCTGGCCAGTGGTACTTAGGGTAGGCCAGAGCTGCTTCTCCCTGCCCCCTCAGGACCTGCCTTCTGGTCCCCACCCCTCAGGAAGTGGGGAACGAGGAATGTGGGCTTTGCAGTCTCCTACCCAGGCTGGAATTTCTGTCCCACTGTCACTGGCTTCTTGAATTCTCACAGCAGCTCTCGGAGGGGCTAACACGCCGTCTCACAGGGTTGCCGTGAGGTTCTGGCGAACTCAGTTGAGAAAGTACTACTCAGAAGCTCAGTGTGAACGATGTCTGAGTCTCTCCTGGCTATTTTTCTGTAGAAAGACCAAACTCAGCTTTATAATGCTAACAGTAAGTGCTCCACGAATGTTGGCCATATGGTGGATGTGTACTAGGAGCCTCAAATACTCAATCTCGTTTAATTTCATCCTATGATGATACTTAGAGGTAGGTTTTATAATCCCATTCTTACAGATGAGGAAACTGAGGCCCCCAGAGTTTGAGCCACTTGCCCAAGGTCACACAAATTAGTTGTAAAACCGGACTTGAACCCAGGCCAGGCCAAGCCCTAAGGCCTGTGTAGAGACAGCTTCAGTCATGTCATGGTGGGTCAGTTGAGAGGTCACCGCAAGCCTGCTCCTCTCTTCCAGGCCCGTTGTTCCAGATGGTTCCTGAAGGCACTGAGGTCTCTTTGCTGGCTGGTCTCAGTTTCCTGGCTCCTCACTATAGGCCACAGGCTTATATGGTTCCTAGAGACTTCTGGGCCCTCTCCCTCTGACTCCACCTAGTACTTTCCCACCTGCTTCCTTTGGCCCCGAGGGTCGCATCACCCAAGACTTTGTCATTCCCTAGCCTTTCCTCCTGTTCTTCATGTCCTTCCTGTCCCTTAAAACATCCTTGTCATCAAGCCTAAGCTCTAGGGCCACCCCATCTCTCATGCTTTCCTTCCTTTTCTTCTTTCATAGGTGTTTATTTGGCACCTGCTCTGTGGCAGGCCTGAGTCTGTCCCTGTCCCGTGAGAATGGCTATGTGATGGGGGAGGTGGCTCACAAAACAGTGACCACATAGCATGGTCAGGGCTGTGATAGAGACAGATGAGGCTGTGGGGCCAGGGAGGCCCTAACTCTCTCTGGGGAAGAAGGAGGAGGAAGGGCTCACCTGGCACATGGGGCAGATAAAGGGATCTTAGGCAGAAGCAGCAACCACATCGCGGGGGGATGGAGCTGGTTGAGAGTAGTGCTCTGAGGAATGGCATATGGTCTAGAGCTTGGGAGAGCAGCTGTGGGAGCCACAGAGTGGGGACTCGATCAATCCTGACAGTAGGGAGCCATTGAGGAGTCTTGAGCAGGGGAGGTGTCTGGTCAGGCTTGCTCTTCAGAAAGGTCTATGTGGTCCTCAGGTCAGAATGAAGCCCCACAGTGGGGGCAGTTATAAAGGCTAGACCTCGTGTCCCTGCAAGACAGGCTACTGAAAGTGATGGTTGTTGTGTTGGTGGTTTTGCTGTTGGGAAAGATGCCTCTGGAAATTGTGGAGGCTAGAAGAAGGTGGAGAGACTGGGGGCCTGTGGACAGGCTGTGGAAACAGTTTAGTGAGCTAGCAGTGCCTAAGGGGGTGCTGAGTTGTCAGGGTAAAAGGGACACTGAGGGTTTAGGGAGGGTGGGTCACTGGGACGAGAGGAAATCTGAGGTTAAGTCTGTTCATGTGGGGCTGTTGTCACATCATGTAGAAGGGGCCCTGGCTCAGGACAGTTCATCCTGGCACCTCAGCTATGACCCAGGACTGTGCGTCAACCTCCCTAACTATGAAGGATTGGATGAAGTGGCCTCTCCTTCTGTGACCCGGCAGGTCTGTGACATGGCCGTGGCCCAGGAGGAGGGACACAGAGCCCATGGAATAGCCAGCTGAGTCCTAGTCTGGATGACCAAATCTGGCCAGGTCTGCTGTGGTCTGGGGCCAGTGCAGGCACATTTACCATCTGAGATGACACGTCTCTGACCCCCAGATGCCCTCCCTAGCTTCATAGTAGGCTCTGCCCTCCCTGTCAGCTGTCTTGGCTCAGCCTGGCCCAGCCGCTCCAGGCCCTGACTTCATCCAAGGCCTCTGCTCTCCCTGTGACTGGCCCTGGGAGGAGTGGTCTGGCTCTGGGGCCCGATTGGCCAAACTTTGTCTGGGCTGCTCACGCCCCTGTCTCCCAGGCTGGCTGCCTGCCCACCTTGGGATGGGAGGAGGGCCAGCCTGGCCTTCCATGACGTGAGCAGATTGCCATGGAGCCAAGGAAAGAGTTGGAGTCTGAGAGGCTGTGCCTGGGGCCCCTGGTGCTGCCCTGTCCCCTCTGCTTGTGCTCTAGCCCAGGGGTTCTGTGCCCCTCTCTTTGATGAAAGTGGGGGATGGCCACAGGGGGTCTCATTCCTCAGTTCGCCTGGGCACTCAGCCCTGCTCAGAGAAGCACAATATTTCCTGTCTGACAAGGTGACAGGACTCCTCAGCTTTCTCAGCAGACATGTCAGCTAGGCATGCAAGCACCCTGCAGGGGCAGAGTCCAGAATCCTGAAACCAGGACCAGGGGTGCCTTAGTGATCGGCAATCTCCCTCTGCACCTGTTAGCCCAGTGAGTCACACCTGAGCTTCAGGAGGGGCGGGGACTTGCTCAGAATCGCATAGCACCAGAGGGACAAGGCTAGGATTTGAACTCAGGTCTGTCTCTGTTTGTCCCTCCACAAACCTTTGATGTGGTGCTACTGTGTGCCAGGCCCTTCTAAGCAAGAGTACTAGAGTAGGAGCTTCTTAGAAGGAATGAACCAATTTATCTTTGTTCTTTCAATATTTGGTCCAGGGCACAGAGGAAGTGCTCAGTGAACGAACGAACGAATGAATGCATGCATGAATGAATGAACAAGGCAAAGATCTTGTCTTTTCTAGGCCTGCAGAATCCAATGGGACGGTAGGGACTCCTTTTCATAGAACAGAAAATAGGAGGCTGGTGAGAGTGGTCAGAAGCAGAGGGAGCACTGAGACTCAGATGTCCCAGCTGTTTTCCATCCTCACTTTTCTCATCTGTGAAATGGGGTTGACAGTCCTCACCCTCTGCCTTCCTTGTGAAGAGGTAGATGTGGAAATCGGTTTGTAAAAAAAAAGCAGGGATGTTGTGTATAGGGCTTCCCTGTGTACATGCCTGGAACTGCCTGGAAATCCCATATGGTCTGCTGTCTTTCTTTTGACCACTTACCCTTTGCATCTGGCCTCCCCCATTTCCCTAGCTTGCTCTACGGCCTTCTGGAATGTTCTGCCCAGGACCCCGGGCTGTGGGATGGGTTTGGGAAGGGTATGGGTGACTGGAGTCTGCCTGCCTCCTCCCCCTACCATCTCCCACACCCAGAAAGGCAGCCCCACTTCTACATCTACACAGGCCCCCAATGCACAACAGGCCAGAAATGCCTTGGCAGTGGTTACCATGGTGACATGTCCTGCTGCTTGGACCACAGCAGCCTGCCAGATACCTGCAGGAGCCTGCAAGCCTGGCACCCTGCAGCCTTCTCCCAGGCTGAGCACTCCCGGGGCTGCCCTCCTTTTTCCCCTTGATGCCGAGCGCTGTAGCTCACACTATGGGAGCCTCATGGGGGAAATGATCTAAGGAGTACAGATCCCAGCACCAGAACCATCCTTGTCCCCATCTGCAACTGTAGCAGGGTCAGTGTTGGGTTGTGGCACTGGTTGCTTGCTGCTGAGTCCAGGTCCAGCCCCGGGTGTAGACAGTGTAGTGTGGTGGGTAGGACCTCAGACTTTGTAGCCAGACCTTGGGTCACAGCTGTGTTTTGCCACTTCCTGGAGCCTCACCTGTAGAGGGAGGGTAACAAGGAACCCATCCCAGGGGTTCGTGGAATTCATGTGTGCAGAGTTCTTAGAAGACTGTTTGATGCTTAATAAGCGTTATATAAATGTTGGCAGTGACTGTTATCACTGCAAGTGCACCGGCCACGAGAATTGGAACTCGTGTCATTTTTCTCACACAGGCAAGTGTACTCAGCTCTCATTCACAGCCTGTTAGGGAGAGCGGGCTAGAGAGGCAGGAGGCCCCCTTCCTCATCCCACCCTGTCCAATGTACTGCCAGGTTCTCCCCACCCCTCTGCCTGGGGACAGACAAGCTAGGCCCTGAGCAGAAACTCCACCTCTGATTCATAAGCTTGAGGATTTTCTCTGCTGCTCCTCCAGCTGGCAGCTGCTGTGGGCCTGGCCTGGATCAGACAGCTGGTCCGTCAAGGCCCAGAGCCCTTCCAGTCAGTAAAGCCAACTGCTAAGGACAGATGAACACCCAACGGAGGTGCTGCCTCCGAGGTCATCTGAAGAATGATGGAGCCCGAGCAAAGGCCTGGGGGGGGGGGGGCAGCAGAAATAGGAGCTGCTTCTTGGAACACTTTATTGGGAACAAATCCCCAGACTTGACTGCTAGAGGGCTCACCAGGCCTCCCTGCATAGAGAGGGGGAATCTTTCCAGAATGAAGGTCAGTCTGAGGCAAAACTGTAACGAGCTGGCCCACGAGCTGGAGGGAGGGCTGAATTTCCCTCCCCCCCCTTCAGGTTCACGGTTCTGCTAACGTGGAGTCGGTGGCCAAAAGGAAACTGGGTGGAAGTAGCATCCAGGGAGCCCCCCTGGGGTCTGAGAGCCCAGGCTGGAGGTGATGGCCACTCTTGGAGTTGGAGTCTGGTGGGAGGTGGCCCTGGGGTGCTCTCCGCTCTCCCTGAGGCACTCAGGTCTGTCCCCACCTTTCGCCAGGGCATCGCCTCTGTGTTCTCAAGCCGCACGTCCCGGAAGTCAGCCTCCCATGCAGAGAAAGACAGCGGTGCCATGGCAGACGGCGAGGGCTACCGGAACCCCACGGAGGTGCAGATGAGCCAGCTGGTGCTGCCCTGCCACACCAACCAGCGTGGCGAGCTGAGCGTCGGGCAGCTGCTCAAGTGGATCGACACCACGGCCTGCCTGTCCGGTGAGCCTACGCCTGGCACAGCAGTCCTGCCACCGGAGGCCCACCGCTCGGAGGAGAGGCCTTGGTTATCAGAGGTGGCCACCGTGGTTCCCCCACGGCCCCCAGCACCGCACTCATCCCGCTCTCCACTCATGCTGTTCCACTGGCCTGAAATGTCCCTTCCCACGTCTTCCCACTCAGCTCGGGCCACCCTCTCTCCCCTGCACTCCACAGCTCCGGGGGCTGGCCTGCACCCTTCAGCCCCTGCATCAACACCCTGCCACCTCGGGTGTGGCGGCCCCAGGCTGGCCTGGGAGTGCCGTGAGCTGGGGCCGGGGCTGCCTGCCGATCTTATGATCTTATCGAGTGGAGCTGAATGGAGCTCCTTTAGATCCTTGGGGAGCCTGTGTATTCCCCGACCCACAGGGACCTCATAGTCCAGTGGGGTGACCAGTCTGTTCCCTGCTGCTGCCCAGCACGGCTCAACGGGGGCTGGGCCAGAGGCAGAATCAGTCAGGTCTGTGGGAGAACAGAGCAGGGGCTCTGACCCAGCCCTGGGTGGGGAGGGATTCCAGAAGGACCAAGGCGGGGAGCATAGCCCCAAGAGTCAGAGTGACTCAGGCAAGGAAACAGAGGTGGGAGAAGCCGACAGCAGAGGCATGATGCCTGGGAGAGCTGGGAAGTACACTAGCCCATGTGATCATTTAGTCATCTAACAGCCGCTCATTGGGGTGTACCGTGCACCAGGCACCATTCCCCGGATGGCAACACTGCCGTCCGACAGGCAAACCCTTCACCCTCAAGTGGCTTGCAGTCCCCCAGGAAGGAGAGACGCCACACAGACAAAACTCAGATAAAGAAACGGGGTCAGGGGGTAGTCATCGAGGTAAGATAAGGGAGGGTAGGGGTGTCGGCCAGGAGCAGTGGCCTTAGCTCAGGCCCCCTGATGTCAGCTCAGAGGTCTGGTGACATGGGGACGCTGCTAACACACGGCTTTCTTCCGACACCAGCTGAGAGGCATGCTGGCTGCCCCTGCGTCACTGCCTCCATGGACGACATCTATTTTGAGCACACCATTAGGTAAGTGGCTCCTCCGGTGTCTCTGTCCCCCTGAACTGCCCACCACAAAGCCAGGGCCCCTCCCCCATCTCCCAACCTGGTGGGCCCGCGAGCTGCCTGGAGTCCTGGATGGATGCTCAACCACTGCAGGTGCCCCAGCAGAACTCCTTTTTATTATTATTTTTTTTTTGGTAAGGATTTTTATTTTTTTATTCATGAGAGATATACAGAGAAAGAGAGAGAGAGAGGCAGAGACATAGGCAGAGAGAGAAGCAGGCTCCATGCAGGGAGCTGATGTGGGACTCCATCCCGCAACTCCAGGATCACGCCCTGAGCTGAAGGCAGACACTCAATCACTGAGCCACCCAGGAGTCCCACAGAACTCCTTTTAAACATAACCTCAACATCATTACTACACCTACACAAAATTAACAATAATTTCTCACTAACATCAAATATCCAGTCTGCTTTCAGGGGCTCATTCTGTCTCCTGATTTTGTTTTTATTTTGTTTTGCTTTACAGTTATTTTTGTTGTTCAAGAGGCAAATACGGTTGCAGTTGGTTGCTATGTCTCTTAAGTCTTTTTTATATATGGGTGCTACACCTCCCCCCAGCACCCTGTTTCCTCACCATCTCTCTCCCTTTCTTCCTCAAAATTTATTTGTGGAGGAAACCTGGTCATTTGCCTTATTGAGTTCTCCATCATCTGGGTTTTTCTGTTAGTATCACTGTGGTGCCATTTAACATGCTCTTCTGTCCCCTGACAGTAAACTGGTTGTGGGGAAGGGTTTGTTTGTGGGAGCTGCCTCTCTTTGATGTGAGGAAGACCTGAAGGGGGTGTAGGGGACCCAAAAGTTTGAGGGGGCCACTGAGGAGGCTGGCCTGTGACTCTGGGGAAGGAGTTGGTTTTGGCTTGAGGTGAGTGGATGGAAGAGAATCAGGAGGAAGGGAGAAGCTCAGGAGTCCATATGAGTGTCTGCTTGACCTTGGGGGAAGCCAATGAGGAGGAGATGGGGAGCAGGAGGAAGGTGGGAGAGCAGGAGGAGGAAGAGAGAGCAGAGGAAGAGGAAGAGGGGAGGAGGAAGAGACACAAATCTCTTTTTTTTTAGTACCATAGAAAATAGTTTGTTATTTTTATTTTAGGGATCATGGAAATCCTCTCCTAATTTCTTATCATGAAAACTTTCAGAATTATAGAGACATTGAATAGTGCAATGGTCACTACCAGTGAGATTCAAGAGTTAATGTTTCTTGCTAAATATGCTTTATCTATATATGGATAAATAAACACACATACACCTCTCTCTCTCTCTTTTCTCAACCATTTGAAAGTAAGTTGCAGGCACCATGATACTTCATCCCTCCACATGTCAGCATGCATCTCCTAGAAGTGGCAGTGCCGGCCGTGCCTATTAGAACTGTGAACAGAATAAACAGAAGCGGGCAGGTCCTTGGCAAACGTGGGCTCCTGTTGTTTATGGAGCTCCTGCAGTGGGGCCGGGCCTGGCACTGACTCTGGCACATCTCCTCTTGCTTGACACTCAGTAGTTGTGCTTCTCTGTACCTGACAGACAAGGAAATAGGCTCAGAGAGGCAAAGTGACTTGTCCAATGTCACGCAACTCAGTAGTGTGAGTCATGCTAGAGCATGATTAGAACCCAGGCCTATGTGACTCTTCTCACCGTGTCTGCTGTCACCCTTTGACAGGCAGGCAGGGCCCTTGGAAGGGACCCCTCCTAGCTCTGGGGAAGAAGAAATGAGCACTGTGCTTTCTAGGTTTGTGATCCAAGGCACAGAGAGATGAAAGGACTTGTTCAGGGTTGCCGCAGCCCCTGTCTGGGGCCTCCTCATAGTCTATCATCTGGTCGCCTTCTGCTGCTTCCAGTTACATGCAGAGCAGGTGAGGTGGCTCCTCTAGGGACTCTGATCGTTTACATGGACACAGGAATTATTCCAGAGGGACAAGCTGCAGCTGGACAGAGTGGGGCCAGTGTAGTCAACAGAACAATCTAGAACCCTGGCTCTATTACTTTTAGCTGGGTGACCTTGGGCAAATGGCTCACCCTTCCTGATGTTCAATCCCCCTAAACCTACCTGTCAAGCTTATTGGAGGCTCCAATGAGGTAATGCATGGTGCTAGGCACAGAGTAGGCATTCTTTAAATGTGTCTATTCTCCTTCCCACCCTCTGTGTATAGTCCCTTGCACTTAGTAGGCCTTCAGCAGATGTGGGATGCATTAATTCAGTAGGCCACTATTTATGGAGGACCTACTCCATGCCGGGTGCTAGGCCTTGTAGGGTCAATGGAGAGCAAAACAGATGTGATGCTGACCCCAGTGGAGCTTAGGAATTGTGGGGGAGACCGAGGCCCTAGGCCCGTCTGTTGGGAGGGTGAATCTTATTGAGGGACAGAGGCTGTCTTGCCAGCTTGCTTTGGGGACTCAGTGACATTGCCAACATGAATAAGGTCTGCAAGCCATGACATTGCCCTGCCAGATCCCCTCAGCAGAGGCCCTACAAGTATCTGGGGCCCCTCTTCCTTTCCTTTATCACCCTGGAAGGCCCACTTCCTGCTTTTCTCTCCCCAGCATCGGACAGGTGGTGAATATCAAGGCCAAGGTGAACCGGGCCTTCAACTCCAGCATGGAGGTGTGTGGGGTGGTTGCTGCCTGGGGTGGGTAGGTGGGTGGCTGGGTTTTCCTCCCCTCCCTTCCCTTCTCAGCCCCCAGCCTGGGCACACTCACACTCACAGGGCCCTGGTTGAGGCAGCAGAATTCTGGAACGGCTGGCAGGGCTGAGAGGATCCTCAGGATGTTCCGTTCAATACCCCATAACACAGAAGGGAACACTCATGGCCAGGGATGGGAAGAGACTTGCCTCAGGTGACCAGGTCACATAGATTCCAACCTGAGATTTGACTTTCAGCCTCCTGGGTCTTCACACCTAACCTCAGACCCTCTTTGGCAGCCAGGCGGTAGCGGAAAGCAGGGAAGACAGCCACCGGGCCTGACCCTGGAGGCAGCAGGGCTGGCGCAGGGAGACCCCTGGACTTCAGCCCATTATTAGCTCACCTCCCACAGCCTCTGTCTCTCCGTCTGTGAAATGGGAGCATGATTCCTCTGCTGCAGGGTTCTTAGGTGAGCTCTGTGAGCTCTGGGGGTGGGTGGGTGGAGGGACTGTTTTCCACCTGTGGACGCCAGGCCGAGGCAGCTTTCCCTAGCCGGGCCACTGAGGCTGGGAAGGCAGAATCCTGACTGCCTCTGGGGACCCTTGGGCCACCCCCCAGGTGCCTGTCTTTTCAATCTATCTAACATTTTACTTTCTTTAAGTCTTTTCCTAGACACAGTCTCATTTTCATTCTCTCTGTAACTCTGATGGTAGGTATGCTCACTCTCTTTTCATTCATTCATTCATTCATTCATTCAGCATGGGGCTTGAACTCACGACCCTGAGATTAAGAGTTGCATGCTCTACCAACTGAAATAGTCAGACACCTGTGCTCACTCCTATTTTATAGATGAGGAAGCCAAGAACCAGAGAAGGGAAGTGACTTGCCCAAGGCTGTCCAGGGATCTATCCCAGGTTTCTGGCCTCCAAGACTCTGGGTGATACAGAAATACAAGGCCTGGCCTGGGGTGGGCCTTCCTGTCTCATAGGCTGGAGGTCCATTTTCCTCCTCACTCCTCCCACCTTTTCTTCCTCTCTAGGTGGGCATCCAGGTGACCTCTGAAGACCTGTGCTCTGAGAAGCAGTGGAATGTGTGCAAGGCCTTGGCCACCTTTGTGGCCCACCGGGAGCTCTCTAAGGTAGGAGTGACACCTGGCTGCTCCCTGTTGCTGGGCCACCCGGGTGCCTGTCATGGCAGGCTGGGACCAGGGCAGTGAGCTGGGGGTTGGCGGAGGGGTGAAATGGGGTTCAGGGAGTTTACAGCCCTCAAAGAAGCTCCCCTCAACTGTGGTCAGACCCTAGGCACCCTCCCTCTGTTTCTCTCCCACCTCTCCCTGTGCATCTCACATGAGGAGTCTTCAGGTCTCATCATTCCCTTACATGTCCCATAGACCACCCCCACCCTAACCTTGTGCCTTTGCCCAAGAAAGGGGCCTGGGGACATTTGGAGGGTTATATATCAGTCAACATGGAGATGGGAAGATGGGGACAAGACTTGTAACCATCCAGCAGCAGCCCCAGGTATGCCGTGAGGCTGGGGGCACAGGCCTTCCTGCTTTCAGGAGACCCGTCCTCAGCATCCCCCCCCCTGCCCCCACAGGTGAAGCTGAAGCAGATCACACCACGGACGGAGGAGGAGAAGACCGAGCATAGCGTGGCGGCTGAGCGCCGGCGTATGCGGCTGGTCTATGCGGACACCATCAAGGACCTCCTGGCCAACTGTGCCATTCAGGGTGGTGAGTGGCCGTGGGTGGGGAGGGCAGCTGGCACCCTGCATGCCCCCTTTTGTCCTAGGCCCCACTGGGCAGAGGGAGGAAGGGAGTCTCCTTGGTACATGCACTTACTGACCTGATGGCCCTCTTGCCTCAAGGTCTCTTTTGGGGAAAGGCATGTTGGGCCCCTTGCTCAGCTCCCAGGATCTGTGAAAATGGAATTAGGACATGAGGAAAGCCCTTTGTTGTCCACAAAACCTACCTGGGTCTCTAGGATTCAGGGTATTTGGGAAAGTACTATTGAGCATGGCTTTGAGGACTTTTTTTTTTTAAAGGTTATTTGTTTATTCATGAGAGACACACAGACAGAGGCAGAGACATAGACAGAGGGAGAAGCAGGCTCCTTATGTGTGTGACTCCATCCTGGAACTCTGGTATCAGGCCTGAGTCGAAGGTAAAGGCTCAACCCACCCAGGTGTCCTGAGGACTATAGGATTTTTTAAAAGGCACATACATATATAAGCACATTTATGTATATATATAGATAGATAGATACACACATAAATAATATAGATGTAGATATACATATAGAATAAAAAGCAAGACTCTCTCCTATCCAGAATCCAGGCCCCCTCCAGTTACTCATTTTGAGGCACCTTTCCAGAAGATTCCTTGCATATTTAAGCATACTGTGTATTATTTAGCTCTCTCTTTTTACCCAAGAGCAACATACAGTATATACTGCTCTGTATCTTCTTTCCCCTTAAAGAAGAGAGATTGTTCATCTTGAAGATTGTTCTATAGCAGCACACAAAGATCTGTTGTGCACTGGCAGGATTTTGAGAGATGGAGAGATAAGGAAAGGCTTTCCTGACAGAGAACACAGGCTGGGCAAAGGCCCAAAGGGGTAACCTTGGATTCACTCACCAATCTCCAGAGCAGTAAGATGTGTCTTCCTTGAGCCCCAGAGGAGGCAGTTATAGGACAATTCAAATGTGGTTCAGCTGCCCAGAGTGGGAAAGAGCGAGTGGAAGCCACTGGCCCCAGTAAAGCAGTGAGAGGGTCTCCCAGGTCCGTGTGCCTTATGTATGTGGGCTCTGGGGGTGTGGCTGGGGACACCTGGCTCTTCCTACTGTCCTTGAGGTGCCCTGGAGCCATCCATCTACTGCAGCCCTCCTGAATCCCTCTTGTCCTTATATAGAGTCCTCCTACCCAAGTCCAAATGCCTTAGTGTGGCATCTGGGCCCTGGCTGCTCACTTAGCTTCAACCAGTGCTGTCCTTTGACTTGCCCTCAGCTCCAACTAAGCCAAGGCCTGATTGCTACCTGTGACAGTCCTACCTGCCTGTCTCCAGATCTTAGCTCAGCGCCCCCCACCTCCAGCTGTCTGTGGCACCTCCGAGCAGCCTGCAAGCCAGTGGGAGGCCACCTTTTTGATGGATCCTCCCTGACGAGGTCTCTGTCGCTGGTGGAGGGGAGATGCATGGCACCTCCTTGGGTCAGGGTCAGTAGTTGTTCCTCTGACACCTAAAGCCCTGCCCACTCTTGGGCCTCTCCTACTGAGGGCTCTGATTTCCCCTGAGTGACAGGGCCCGTCTCGTAAGAGAGAGGGGAGAACTATCCTGAGAGTCTCTGTCTCCTGAGTTTGGTGCCAAGTGCTCTGGAATCATGATCACACTTCATCTTCACCATCCTCCTGGGTTGGGTCTGACGTCCACCCTATACCAATGAGGAAACGGAGGGTCAGAGAGGTCCCTGACTATCCCGAGTCGTTCAACCTGCGTTCAGACCCACCACAAGAGTGTCCCACCCACCGCCCTGCGACAACCTGACCTCTGTCCTCCCAAGTCCTCCTCCTCATCCAGGGACGGCACTCTTGGTGCTGAGTCTATACAAGCATCCGGGTGACTGATCATGCTAGTGGTGGGGGCCCCTGGGTTTGCCCCTTGGGAGGGTCTGTCTTTGGGAGCTTCTCCTCATCCCATTTTCCTCCCTCTGCCCTTGCCGGGTCAGATCTGGAGAACAGAGACTGCTGCTGCTTGGTGCCAGCTGAGAAGACCCGCGTGGAGAGTGTGGAGCTGGTCCTGCCCCCCCATGCCAATCACCAAGGCAATACCTTTGGGGGCCAGATCATGGCCTGGATGGAGAACGTGGCCACCATTGCAGCCAGGTGAGGGGAGAGTGCGCTGCCTCCGCTCCCCACCTTTCTCTCCCTCCTTCCTTTGGCTGGCTCCCTCTAGGGGAGAAACCCCAGCTTGGTGTTGGCATTCAAGGCTTCAGGAGCTTGGCTGTTCTGTTAGGGTAACTTGGAGCTTTCAGACCCAGAGAGCCAGAGAGGAGTGATTTTTCTGTAAGCTGGCCATTCCTTCCTTGACTTAGAAAGCCCTCCGCAGTCTTCATCACCTGCATGGGAAATGCCAAGCCCCTGGCCCCGTGCTAGGGCCTCCCCTTGACCTCACCCTGCCCGCTGTCTTCCTGTATCTTATGCTCCCAGCGAGTCAAGCCATTTGCTCTTCCCCATTCCCAACCCCTGCCTTTGCTCCTGCTCTAACCTCTCACTGTGCCACTTCTCCTTTTGGTCTGCTAAAGTCTATGAAGCCTCTCTAACTGTTCCCTTCTCCCTAGAGGTGAAAATAATTCCTTCCCTCTCCTATAATTGCTGCACTTGTCTGTAGATTGTTTTTCTCCAAATATTAGGGTGGTTTTTTTCCGTAGCTATATTAACAGACGTTCACTGACTGACCCTAATACCTCCATGACTTTGTGTTTGCTGTTCCCTCTGCCAGGAGTGCCTTCCTCAACCCACGTCTTTCTATTACTCCTCAGCTCTAAAGAGCCTGGCTCAAGTGGCCCCTCCCCTGAGTTCACCCTGGGGGACACAGTGCATAAGCAATGACATTTCGGGCAGCTCAGTCTCTGTGTGCCATAAGATCTCAGAGGGGGATCACAGCCCAGATAGTCAGGGAAGGCTTCCTGGAGAAGAGATCCTTAGCTGAGCCTTGAATGACAAGTAGCTTTGAGTAAGTGGAGGGCTTCTAGGTAGTAGAAGCAGCAGGTGCTGGGGTGTCAAGGTTAAGGGAAAATAGGGAAGGGATTTACCTCAAGCCCTGGGGTAAATCTGTGGCCTCAAGCTCAGCTGCCTGCTAGCCATGCATAGACCTGAGTGTTCTAAGATGTGAAATGGGACTGCTGTTCTGTTCCTCTGGGCAGAAGTGGGCCAGGTTGGGTGGGAGGGGGTGGGCCAGAGGGCAGTGCATGTGGTTCTGGGCTGGGTCTGTGGATCGGGTAGGGGCAGAAGCTGGCCCAAGCCTGTGGCTGAAGCACTGGGGCATTTGCCCTGTCTCCCTGACCCTGGCTTCCTCCAGCCGGCTGTGCCGTGCCCACCCTACGCTGAAGGCCATTGAGATGTTCCACTTCCGGGGCCCTTCGCAGGTGGGGGACCGCCTGGTGTTCAAGGCCATCGTCAACAACGCCTTCAAGCATAGGTAAGGGGCGGGACCAGGGCCCCCTGGAGTTGAGAGCTTTTCCTGACCCAAGAAGGGGCCCTTTCCCCTGCAGATGAGCCCTATGAGGTCTAAACCCTGCTCAGCTGCCTGGCCTCTTCACCATGACCAAGGTGCAGCTCTGCTGTTCCCTCCGCTGGGCTCCCCTGTCCTGCGGCCCCTGCAGCCCCTGCGGCCCCTGCGGCCTCAGATCAGCCCCATGCTCAGTGTGTCTGCCTCTCTTCCTGGCTCCTGCCTCTGAGCCCACCACACTATACATGCTCAGATCATGGGGCCACCTCTTGCCAGTGTTCTGTCATTTATCAAATCCTTTCCCACCTTTTCCCTAAAACAACCATTAGTTCCCAGAGGCCTTAATTTGGAATGAATCCTGATACATCCGAGGAGGCTTACTTTAAATATGTATCTTTGTTGGGGATTTCAAAGATCATAATTTAGTTGTTAAAAATGAGGGAGCCTGGTTCCCTGTGTTCGAGATCTGCTCTCCTTTACTGGCCATGTGGCTTGAGGCAAGTTACTCAACATCTCTGAACTTCAGTTCTTTTTTAAAATAAGTGTACTATCTATCTATCTATCTATCTATCTATCTATCTATCTATCATCTATCTATCTATCTATCTATTTTAGGCAGAGAGAGAGTCTAGGGGTGGGGAGAGGGGACTGGGGTGGGGTTGGGGGAGAGACCAGAGGCAGAGGGGGAGAAAGAATCACAAGCAGGTTCTGTGCTCAGCATGCAGCCCCACGCGGGGCTCTGGCTCACGACCCTGAGATCATGACCTGAGCCGAAATCAAGAGTCAGACACCTAACCGACTGAGCCACCAGGTGGCCCCCACTGAGCTTCGGTTCTTTTGCCCTCGCTACTACATCACAATTGTCTTGAGCAGAATGCCAGAGAAAACGTTCAGTGAAGATGATTATTACTGTGCTCATCATTACTCAGTATGTCCCTCAGATATTCTGCTGCTATGTGGAGGGTGGGGCTGCAGAGAACCCTGAACTAAGGACCACAAGGTCCACCTTTCAGTCCAGCTTCCCTTCCTGGCTGTTGTGGGACCTTGGCCCAGTCACTGTCCCGTTCTAGGTCTTGGTTCCTCCTCTGCATCACGTCCACATGCTTAGAGCTTCCTAAACTAGGGGACTGTGTTTTTATGATTAATGAAGATGGATATGCAGAAACGGCAGCAATTGAGCTTTATCAGGGGCATGGCTGTTAGAGCCCTTGTGAGGATGTGCGTGATGGACATTTTTTCCCAATTAGGCTCTGCATCCCCACCTTCTTGCTCACATCCTGCCATAATCCTTTGCAGTTCACATGACGTATTATATATATATGTGTGTCTACATATACATATATATGTATATGCACACGTGCATAAATACTACATTACACCTTATATGTACATATGCATGTATATGTGTATGTATGTGTTTATTTATTGCCCCATCTTCCAGCTGTTAGCCCATGAGGGCATAGACCTAATCAGTTTATTCATTTCTGTGTCCCCAGTGACTAGCATAGGGCCAGGCATGTAGGAGCTGCCCATAAACATGGATGAAAGGGACCACCTGCGTTTCCTAGCAGAGGGATCCTGACCTGGGCTGCTCGGAGAGCTGCAGGAGTGTGCGTGTGTACACATGTGTGCATGCGTACGTGTCTGTGTGTGCATGTTGGGGAGGGGCATGGGCTCAGCAAGGTCTGTCCAGCATGGAAGCAGCCGTCCCTCTCCTTCAGCATGGAGGTGGGTGTGTGCGTGGAGGCTTATCGCCAGGAGGCTGAGACCCATCGGCGGCACATCAACAGTGCCTTCATGACCTTCGTGGTCCTGGACGCAGATGACCAGCCTCGGACACTGCCCTGGATTCGGCCCCAGCCTGGAGTGAGTGGCACCCTGGGTCCCCACCAGCTCCCCACCCTCTCTGCCCAGGGGGGTGGTGGGGTCTGCTAGCCCCTGACACATCTGGGGGGTGATGGGCTCAACTCTGCCCCTCTGCAAGAGCATGGCCCGTTCTGGCTGCCCTGTGATCCCCCCAGAGATGCCCTTTGTGCAAGGCAAGCACCTTGGTCTGCCTGAAAGAACTAGGACCTTGTGTATGGACCTTGGTCAGTTAGGTGGTTTTTTTTGTTTTTTAAATATTTTATTCATTCATTCATGAGGGACACACAGAGAGAGGCAGAGACATAGGCAGAGGGAGAAACAGGCTCCCCATGGGGAGCCCGATGTGGGACTCGATCCTAGGACCCCAGGATCATGACCTGAGTCAAAGGCTGACGCTCAACTACTGAGCCACCCAGGTGCCCCTCAGGTGTTAACAGGCATTCATGCACCTGCAGAGTTGGAAGAGCACTGGCTTTTGGGTCAGATGTGGGTTGGAACTCCACTCTGGCACATTGTAGTGGGCGCCCTCTGCAAGTTTCTAGTCTCCCCCTTAAAGTGGCTGTATCTGCATTCCTGCCTCACAAGGGTGTTGGGAGGGTATCTTCGGGACCCTGGCCCTGTGCTTGTCTAAGCCCTGTAGGCACTCAGTAAATGGTGACCATTATGAGGGGGAGGTGACGGGAGAGCTAGAAGCATATAAACGGGAGTCAGGCGCTGGAGTTCAAAGCCTGTCTCTTAAAAAATGCAATCTTGTGCCTCCTGTGGGCCAATTCTGGGCTTCCTTCTGGGGAAGCCAAAGGATGACTATGGAGAGGCACTCCCTCTGCCTGGGGAGGCCTGCCCTGCCTGCCTGCCTCCCAGGGCTGAGAATTGGCTGTGAAAACCCCCCATCCACAGCTGGACATTGAGAGTGGGGGCAGGGGTGGGGCAATGGGAGCAGGGGAGCCCGGCAGGAGAGGTGCAGCATACAGTTGATGAATGCCTCTCAGGCCTGTGCAAGTGAATGCTCATGAGTGGGGAGACATTAGAAGTGGTGGTGAAGAGGGTGGGCTCCGGGTCAGGCCATCAGGGTTCTGTTCCTGGCCCCACTCCTTAACCCTGAGACCTTGGGTAAGCCACTAACCTCTGTGCCTGTTTCCTCCTCTGTAAAATGGGGATACAATGAGTACTGACTCTGGAGGGTTGTTGTGAGGCTTATTTGACATTTTGCACGGACATGCTTTAGAGGACTGCTGGTAACAGCAAGTGCCCAGGAAATGTGGGCTCTTACTGGCACTGCAAGTACCCTTTGCGATGCCCCTGTGCAGAGGAGGATAGTGGAGTCCAGTGAGGGCTGGTGTTGTTCCCAAAGTCACTCAGAGAGTCTAGGGGAAGCTGAGGCTGGAGCTCAGAGCCTCGGCACTTTCCTGTCCAGTTTGCTTGGACTCTGGCTGCCCCGATGAACCTGAACTCCACATTTGGGGCTGCAGGGCCTCCTTGGGCCCTTCTGGAGCAGACAATAACACAGGAGTGGGGAGGAGGGCACAGGTGGGCCTGCATCACAGCTTGTCCCTGTGTTCCTCCCCAGGATGGTGAGCGGCGCTACCGAGAGGCTAGTGCCAGGAAGAAGATCCGACTGGACAGGCAAGTGTGGGCTGGGTGGCGGGAGGGGTCACAGGTTCTGGGCTGTCTGCCTGTTTCCCAGGCCCCAGGGCCTGGCATTTCTTCAGTGCTGCCCTTGTGGTGGGCACTGGCCGGGCCTTTTACATCCACACAGCCTCACTAGCCGGAGGTATTCCTGGCCCATCGTCCAGGTGAGGACACTGAGGACGAGGGGTTATGTGGCCACTGGCACACAGATAGGAATGATGGGCAGAGTGAGAATTTGAACTTGGCCAGGTCCAGCCATTTCTAAATCCTGGGTTCCTTCCATTGACTCTGATGCATGTTGGGCAGATGAAGAAAGGTCCTGAGAGGAGATGCAGCCGCTCAAGATGCATAGCCAGGTGTGCACCACGGCTTCGAAGCACATGACGGCCCCTAAAGTGCTGGAAATACTCTGGAGTTTGTGCTAATAGGAAAAGTGTGCCTCTACGGAGCACTTACCATAGGCCAACCCTCGTCTTCATGATGACCCCTCCCGATCCCACTGTTTGGAGGAGGCTGCTGAGCACGGCGGCAAAGCTGCTTAGCCAGAGAGTCAACTGTTCAGCGAGGGTGCAGGGCCCAAGCCTCCCCCCGGCACCCTGCTCCTGGCCTTGCTCTGCTTCTGAACGAGGTTGTAGGCTCTCAGCTCCTGTTTTCTGTGTGCCCAGCCTGCCTCCCTGGCCAGACAGGAGTCTGGGCTGAGCACAGGGAGAGAAGTCTTCTGAAAGACATGGGACCCTTTCTCCCATGGAGAAAGCTCTCCAGGGACCATGATTGTCGTCTTCCCTCTTCCAGGAAGTACATCGTGTCCTGTAAACAGGCAGAAATGCCCCTCTCTGTCCCCTGGGATCCCAGCAACCAGGTAAAGCCTCTGCTCTGAGTGGACAGTCCACAGGCCCACGCTGGGGGCAGCGGGGAGTAGGACCCTGATTCTCCCTTCTTGTCATAGTGGGTTTGGAAGTAGGCCTGAAGGGGACCGGATACTATGTCATGCCTCAGGGTTGGCACAGTCAGCAGAGGGCTTTCCTCTGTCCCTGTTTGGTAGGAGGGGGGGCTGAGGCCCTGAGAAGAGGGTGACATAGTGAGTTTGTCCTGAAGCCCAGTGCCCACTCCCCACCCCACCCCCTTCAGGGTCCAATGTCCTCAGCCCCAGTCCTGCGTGGCCGTGGCCCAGAGCCCCCAAGGAAGGGGAGAAGGTGAGGCTTCTCTGTGTGCTCTGTCCAGGTGTACCTGAGCTACAACAATGTCTCCTCCCTAAAGATGCTCGTGGCCAAGGACAACTGGGTGCTGTCTTCGGAAATCAACCAGGTAGCTGACCCTACCCCCAGTAGAGGTGGCCGATGGCAAACAACAGTTCTCTCAAACTGCTTGTGTTGAAAGGGGATTTATTTATTTCTTTCTTTTTTTAAAAGATGTTCTTATTTATTTATTCATGAGAGGCACAGAGAAAGGCAGAGACACAGGCAGAGGGAGAAGCAGGCTCCCATTGGAAGCACGATGGGGGACTCAACTCGATCCCAGGACCCCGGGATCACGACCTGAGCCAAAAGCAGACACTCAATCACTGAGCCACCAAGGTGCCCCAGGGATTTCTTAAAAGGAGTTGGATGAGACCATGAAACCAGTGCAGTTACAGAAACACAACTGCTCCCACAGCCCTGGAGTGGAGAACCCCCAAATCTTTCTCTCCTGCCCACCCACTCTTTTGCCCTCAACCCCTTGTCTCTGTTGTTCTCTGCCCTGCTGCTTCTTCCCTCTCTCTGCTGCTTCCTCCCTGCCGGGATGGGGCCAATGTACAAGCTTGGGCTGAGGGAAGACATGAGCCCTGCCCATGCCCTGGGGACAGTCACTTCCCCACTGGTGACATCTGGGGCTTGGAAGACCCATTCCACTGTGGCCTTAGTCCCTGCTTCCTAACGTACCCTCCCGTCCACTCTGCTGACTTCTCTCAACAGCCCATTTTCACAGGGTTGGGACCAAGGCTCAGAGACGTTGAGTGGCTTTGTCACAGTCACACAGCAAGTCAGTGGCAGCCTTGAGTTGGTAGCCATGGCCTCTGGCATTGGAGTCAGCCCACCCCACTGCCCAGCATAGCCCGGGGAGGGGACATGAGAACGAGGCTGTCCTGTGTCCCACACAGGTCCGCCTATACACTCTGGAGGAAGACAAGTTCCTCTCCTTCCACATGGAGATGTTGGTTCATGTGGACACAAACCAGGCCTTCCTGCTGCTCTCAGACCTGCTTCGGAGGCCCGAGTGGGACAAGCACTACCGGTGAGGGCTGAGGTGCTGGGGGGTAGGGTGCTTTTCTCAGGCCTGGTGGGGAAACTGGGTCCCCGGGTGTCCCTGGCTGAGCCATCCCCCGTTATGCTCAGCACCTGCTGGCCTTTAGCCAAGCACGGGAGTGAGGGGGGTGTCGGGGGGATTGTAGTTATGAGTCAGATGGGTGTCAGAGTCAAGGGCATTCTAAGCTGTCAGAGAAGAGGGACTGAACGGGTCACTTCCTTTCTAGGCCTGTTTTCCTCCTCTTAAAATGGGCACTTGAGGTGTAGGTCATGCATTTGCACTCAGGCATAGATCAGTGATTTTCAAAACCATGTTCTGTGGAGTTCTGTGTCCCCACAGGAGGCTCAGGGACCCCTTGTGGAGGTTAGAATGCTGAGCAGGTGGGTGGGTCCCTCCCAGCTTCAGGGTAATGGAGGGAAAGGCCGGCTTGATGAATTCACCCCGTTTGCCAGCTCTTCTTATGGATATGTGCATGCAGATGTTATTTTTGAATGTAGTGAGATACTGAATATAAATGTTATTCCTATGAATACATTTGTTCCCTGAATTTACTGAGTCTTCATGGGAATATTTTCGTCCCGAGTTTAGCCAAGGAAGATAAATCTGTTCTTAGGAAAATAGCCAAAATTTCAGTATGTAATATGAGAATATTAAAGTTGAAACTGATATTGTTTTCAAATCCCTTTAAAGTCATTTTCTGTTGTGCCAACATCCTAGTTTGGGGGGTTCTTTGGTTATTTCTCCCATGGCTGCTTACGAGGAGCCAATATTCTTGAAGGATATCCATGCATGTGGGTCTGCGCGAGTTGATTTTTGGCAAATTGCCTTCCCCTTCCTACCCCCACCTATCTTACCAGAGTGGACCTACTTGTGGCTCTTTCTACACAGCTTTCCGTTTAAGGGTTTGGTGCACAAAGGCTGTTGCTTTGAAAAGTCTTGGTTGGGGCGCCTGGGGAAACTAGTGTCTGCCTCTGGCTCAGGTCATGATCCTGTTGTTGGGCTCCCTGCTCACAATGGCTCAGTGGGCTCCCTGCTCAGCGGGGAGTCTGCTTCTTCCCTCTCCCTCTGCCGCCCCCCCTTGCTGTGCTCTCAAATGAGTAAAATCTTTTAAAAAATTAAAAAGCCTTAGTCTAGGTGACCCCAAGCCTATTGGCAGTGACATTCCACAAAGCTGGGAGGTAATTGGTGGTGGATGTTGGGGCCATTGGGCCTATAGTAGGAAGGCTTTTTTTAAAAAAGATTTTGTCAGTTAGAACAAGCAGGGGGAGCAGTAAAGGGAGAAGCAGGCTCCCTTCTCCCTATAAAATGGGGATGGCTGGGTGCATCTATGGCATCGGCTGCTGTGGGATCAAATGAAATAGTATGTGGGAAGCCCTGAGAACAGCGCCTCGCTCACAGCAGGTGCTCATAACCGGTAAACCCTTGCACATCCATAGGGAGCATGTAGCCCTGCAGACAGACGTAGCCACCTGTGGGTGCATATCTGTGTGTGTACATGCAGCCCACAGGTGTTTGTCTGTGCCTGCCTGTTCCTGTGTCTGCATGCTTTTGCCTGTATACACGTCTGCATGTTCCTGTGTGTGTTCATGCATGCTTTGGCCTGGCCTTCCTGCCCTCCTATGGCCCTGCTGAGCAAGGGGTAAGGTGTCCCCCAGACATCCGCTCGAGAAGGCTGAAACGGAGGGCCTGGGCAAGACAGGCTGTCCCAGGAGCCGGTGTGACTCCCTTGAGTCCTGACCTCTGGACCTCCCTATAGGAGCGTGGCGCTGGTGCAGCAGGTGGATGAGGATGATGCCATCTATCACGTCATCAGCCCTGTCCTCGGCGGCGATGCCAAGCCCCAGGACTTTGTGATCCTGGCCTCTCGGCGGAAGCCTTGTGACAACGGGTGGGTGCCTGCCTGATTGGGGGGGCGGTGGTGGACAGGGCTCATCTTCCTCCTTAGGAGGGGACATCTGCTTAGACTCAGCTCTTTGTTTGCTCTGGGACTCCACTTGACACCACTTGGCTTTTCTGGGCTGCTGTAGCCTTGCTGTGGCTAAAATGGAGAAGACGGGGATAGATCTCCCCTCTGGTCACTTGAGCTCTAAGGCAGGGTGGTCTCTGTCCCTGGGGTGGTGAGGCTTCCTCACCCCAGGCATGGGCAGACCCTTGCTCGTGTGGCCACCACCTCAGCCTCTGCCCTCCAAAGGCCCCATGTTGATCCAAGAATGGCAAGGCTGCCAGCTGGGCCACGGCATCACTTCTAGAGACAAGCGGGCACAGAAAAGTGAAGCATGAGATTCCAAAATAGGTGTCTCTTTGGGCATCTGCAGTGTTGGGGCTTGTCAGAGTTTATGTGCCTTAGACTCCGGTGAGGGTGTCTATGTTGAGGGGGCTCCGGAGCCTGAGCTGGCAGAGCAGGCCCTCACCGACTCCTTTTGGGACCTTCTCTGCCCTTTCTCTTGCTCCAGGGACCCCTATGTCATTGCGATGAGGTCAGTTACACTGCCCACCCACCCTGAGATGCCAGCATACAGGCGCGGGGAGACCCTCTGCTCGGGTTTCTGCTTCTGGCGAGAGGGGGACCAGATGACCAAGGTGAGGCCCACTGTTCCCTTCCTCTTCCCTTCCCAGACTCCCCCCCAAAGCCACACATGCATGTCCAGAGATCGGTGCCGTGGGCTCAGTAGATGCCATACCTGGGCCCCACCTGCTGCCTGCCAGCGGGCTCTCTGCTAGCTTGGGGGAGCCCACGAGTGTCTGGGGCTAGAAACAAGCCTTCATTAAGAACCAATCTGTGCAGAGGTAAGACTGCAGGGTCTTGGAAAAAGCTCTGGATGCTGAGGGCAGAGGGTTCTGATCTAAAATTCATCTCATTTATTTATTTATATACCTCTCTTGTCTGGAAATGCTTTATGTGGCTCTCAGGGCCCATAAAGCTCAGGAGGGCAGTCAGTGCTAATTGAAAATGTGGGGGAGGAGGCTGAGGGCAAGCGAGGGTGGGGTACTACAAGCAGCTCCCCCCTCCTCGGAGCCCGGCCACTTTAGGACCCCAAGACTCACCCAGGCAGGAATTAGGCTGGTGTTCACTTGCTGTTATGACCCTAGAACACCACCATTTATTTGTGGTGGGCTCTGAAGGCCCAGCCCATCTTCCAGAACCTTCCTCATCTGACAAGGGAGGCCCATGACTGAGGAAAGCAGGATTCTCAGCTCCCAGAAGAGGGGTCACACCACCCCCAGGGTGCTGGCTTGTGTTTGCTGCCTTTCCCATGGGCTTCATGCCCCCTCCCCCTGCCCAGCCTCCCTGAACATGGTGTCCTGTCCCACAGGTGTCCTACTACAACCAGGCTACCCCAGGCTTTCTCAACTACGTGACCACCAACGTGGCTGGCCTCTCCTCCGAGTTCTACACCACCTTCAAGGCTTGTGAGCAGTTCCTCTTGGACAATCGGAGCGATCTGGCCCCCAGCCTCCAGACCCTCTAGATGCCTGCAGTAGCCTCTGCGTGCCCACTCCTGCTGTCCTGCCCCCAGGGACACACCATGCAGTGCATTGAGGAAGGCAGAGGCATTTATTGCTTCCTGCCTACCCCTGTGGGAAGCCTTGACCCAGGGCTCCGCCTGCCCAGCTCCAGTGGGCGCTCAGTTCCTGCCAACATCCGCCAGCAAGTCTTCGCGGTAACTCCAGGGCAGCCTGTAGTAGACCCGGGTCCTGTCAACAGCCCTGGCTGCCAGCAGCACTGCCTGCACGGATGCATAGTCGCCCCCCTCTGGGCTGTGTTCCACTGTGACGGTGGCCTGGGGGGAGGCCGCCAGCAGCCTGGCCACAACTCCGACCATGTTCTGGCCCAGTGGCCCAGCCTGCAGCTGGAAGGACACAGGTTGCCAGAGACCCTGGCATAGTTCCAGCATATCCGTGAGCAGCTGTTCCCTGTAGCCACTGCCCAGTGCCTCCTCAGGCCAGGCTGGTGCCACTGTCACATGGGGGAAGACATCAGCCACGGCTGCAAGCAACTCCCTGCCAGTCACGTGGCCGGGGACTGTGAAACTGCCGTGGGAGATGGTGGCCCCGATCCACACAGGCCGGGTCAGGTGGCCGAGGGTGGAGAGGTGGGCCAGCGTAGTCAGGGATGGCCGGAGGGCCGTGGGCTCTGCTATGTGCAGATGGACACCCCAGCGTCCGGGCCGCCCAGCGAGCCGCAGCAGGCAGGCCTCCAGCGTCATGGTGGGACCTCCTGGGACATGTATGATGGGCACGGGGTTCTTGGCAGCAGTCCTCTGGAGGCCAACGTTCAGCAGGATCATGCCTTCTCCGTCTGAAAGAGGAAGTGGAGACAATAGAGTCAGGAGTTCAAGTCACGGTGAGGTGTCAGACGCCCTTATTAAAGGGGTGGTGATGGAGGCAGCCAAGGAGAAGCTGGTGCCCCATCTGCCAAGATCTGTGTGGATTGGATGGTCTGGGCTCCAGGTAGAAAGGGTGCTTTACAAAGGTTTCCGGGGGTCATGGGAATGACGTGATGAGCTGCTGGCCCAGCCCTGGGGCCTGTGCCTGCCTCTCCCTCGGGGATATGAGCCTTAGGAGGCCTGTTCTCTTGGTACCACCGTACTCTGCAGGCGCCACCGGGCATCCAGCACATCACCATGGTAACCGAGGCCCTAGCTTCCTGCCCCGAGCAAAGGAAGGACCCGCGGGTGGGCTAGGAGCACAGGGGCTGAAGGCCCATCTCACCTGGTAGGCTAACTGTGGCAGTTCTCCCGTTGCCCTGGATGTCAGGAACCAGCCACTCCACGCTCAGACCGTCCCCGCCGGGGGCCTGGAGAAGAGGTATCAGGCTGCCTCCCGTGTAGTAAATTCGCTTCCGCGTGGCATTTGCTGTGGGCCCCAAATTGTCAAGATGAAGTGACCACCATTCACCGAGCACCTTCTCTGCGCCCTGTGCCCACACACACTCTTCTCAGCCTTGAGGCAGAGGTTCTCCCCTTGGGGATGACAAGACGGGACTTGCCCAAGGTCCCACAGCCAACAAGCAGAGTTACTGGGGTTGGAACCTGATGGAGCCGAGTTGGCCTGCCCCCAAACCAGAATTCCACCTCCCCTCACCTATGTGACTTCCATGGTACTAATGTTGAGTCTACTATTGGGTTTGAGTCAATGGGTTTCCTCTGAGATGACTTAACTGCAGGGTCTCCTAGGTCCAGGGTCAAGGGGCTGAGAGGTTGGGACAAGCGAATGGGTAACATTTGGGCCACTAATTAGTAGGTGCACTGGAGGGGGGGGTGGTCTCTGAGGAACTATACTGTAAGGGAACCAAACATGGCTTTGCATCTGAGCTGTGCTATGTACAAGCGAATGACTTTGTGTAGGTTACTTGTTTCCCCAACTATAAAATGGAATCCTTGCTTCTGGCCAACCATACCAAGGTCTGGCACACCATAGGTGCTTAAAAGGATCCTTTGACCTGATTCCACTCTGAATTTTCCCTTCTGATGATGCCACATCACCCCTCCAGCTCTGCTCCACTGTCTACCAAATGGTGCCCTGTGCAGAATCCAGGCCCACCACCCTCCCTGTCCACCGCACACCCCTCCGTACCAGCCAGCTGCTTGAACTGCGATAGGACAGGCTCGAAGAGGTCATAGTAGACTTGGTGGGGAGCGCTGTTGTCTCGGATATAGAGGAGATCGTCCACTGACACAGGGTCCGTGACACCCTGCCACAGCGTCAGGCTGTACCTGGGGCCCAGAGAGCCAGCTCAGTGCCTGCCTGGGCCCGTCAAGGTCCACGGCCCCACGAACTGGAGCCTCACTGGGCAGGGATAGGGCATCTGGCCTTCAGCTTCCCACCAGCCCCTTCTCCCCTGAGAACTACCCCCTTCCCAGGAGCAGAAGAAGCCACAGGAGCTTCAGAAGGGAGAATGAGTGAGACGCTGAGCAGGAGGGGCCAGCCTGCCCTGCATCCTTACTGGGAGTGTCTATTTCTGCTCCTGTCTTAGGAAAGGGACAGGGACAGAAAGGGATGGGTACAGGGCAGTGGGGAAGAAGTTAGGTGTGGAGGGGGAACGGGACAGCCCTTGGAGCTCCTGTGGGAAGTGGCTGAGAATGGTGGGACTGGGCAGCTGGAAGCAGACTGTAGGAGTGCAGATGGGAGTCCTCCAGTCCCTACAGGACAATCCTGAGCACAGCTGGCTCCCACGGGAGGAAGACTTGCCACTAGGTGGAGTTATCCACCAATGGACTGGCTGCCTGGGGGGGGGGGGGGTAGTCAGCCCATCACCAGAGGTATAGGAACAGAGAGCAGGGATATTGTAGAGAATGGGACCACCAGTAGATATTGGACAGATATGTTTAAGCATCTGGAATCTCCCCTGGGGGCATTGGTGCCTGGGGATGGGTTTGGTGGCTCAGGGGCTGTGGCAGGGGCATGGGAATTCTCACCTCTTCGACTGGCCCAGAAGCCAGCTGAAGTGGGGCCAGGCAGCCCGTACCATGACAGCACGCACGGGGAAGGTGACCTTCTGTGGCAGTGCTCCCAGCAGCCCCTGCATCTTCTCCACCATGGCTCGGGTGTATGTTGAATTTGGGAACAGGGGCACATAGAGGGTGGTCCAGCCCGGAGACAGGGTGGCTTCAGGATACTTCTCCTGGACCAAGGCCAGGAACCTGCCAAGGAACAGAGATACTGGCCTTTGTGAACCTTGCTGGCCCCTTCCTCACCTCCTGGGTTCCCATCACTGTACTAGGAAGTGGCTAGTCCTATGGAATGTAGACTATGAAGACAGAAGCAGAGTCCTAAAGAGAAAAAGTGACTTACTGAGGTCCTACAAATGAGGCATGGACTTTGAAACCAGGGGGTTCTGGGTTGAGGTCCTACCTCTAACCTTGGGCAGCTCATTCAACCTCGTTGATTCTCAAAGATGGCATCCCTTCTGGTAGGGCAGGGCCTCTTCAGCATCCCCATTGGGATAGGAGAGACAAGCCAGGGCCCCAGATGTGGGGATCTAGACTCTTTAGTCATGAGTCTAAAACTTCAGATATTATTTTTAAATTCCGTTTAAAATTTTCCCTGATTTCAATTTTATTCTTGCCCTTTCCTTCTCCCCAAACTATTGAGTAAAATCAATGCTCCAAGAAGACGAGCCATATTTATCTTGGGTCACTGACTACATTTTTCCAACTGCTGCTTTCCAAAGGCACCTCAGTTTGAGAATCACAATAAATATTGGATGGGTGGATTGTTGGCTGGCTGGCTGGACAGATGGAGAGATGGATGATTAGAATCAGGAAGACACCTGGCTTTGAATCTTTGTTCTGCGATATTTAGACTTAGGCCAGTCATACAACTACGATGAGCTAGTTCCTATACTAATGAAGTGAAAATAATAGTATCTACCTCATTTTCTTGATAACGAAAGTACTTCTAGAAACAGTGTCTGGGCACATAATAAACATTCAATAAATTGAGTCTCGATTACTGTCAGCTTTCTCTTCTGCAAAATGGGGGAGATTCTCTTAACCTAGTGTTGCTAAGTAAGGGTCAAATTTGACACACTTTCTCCTTTTGTGTGGCCTTTCATTATAAACTATAGAGCGCCAGGCAGCTGGAATATGTGAGGACTGTTGGTGGCAGTGCTGGGACTGCAGAGAGGCTGGGGAAGGAGTTAGCACTTTTAGACTTTTCTCTGGCAGGCCAGCCCTGCCGTGGTCACTGAGAATACAGAAAGGGCTGGGCCCTGTCTGCCCTCCCGGAGTCCACCACGGAGTAGGGACTACAAACCTGTCATCTGGCCGAGACAGCCCAGTGAAATCAGGGCTGTGTTAGGAGGAAGTGTGAATGAAGTCTCTCCGCAGCCTGGGATGTTGGGGTAATTTTTGGAGGAGGCAACGACTGGGCAAAGGTTCACAGGGAATGGGGAAAGGCATTTGGGGCAGAGGGAACAGCATGTACAAAGGCTAAGGTCAGATTCTGTGGTGTGGCTGGACACACCTGGGGCAGAGAAGTGAATACTCACTGCGTGGCGTTGACCTCAATTGAGATGGGCACATTGGGGCCCCTCAGGATGTCAGCATTGATCCACACAGGCCTCCGGACTCTCCCGTCCTCTGTCAGCCGCCGCAGGAGGGCCAGCGAGGGGCCCACAGCCTTGATGCTCTTGAAGTCCAGTTTAATGCCTGTGGGGAGAGAGCCGAGGGCTTGGGGAAATGGCCCCTCATGCTCAGGGCAGAAGGAGCCAGCAGACACGACTTCCTGGAGCAGAGAGAGCAGGTTTGGGGTGGGATAGGGTGGGGGAGGAGGTGGGAAAGCAGGGAGCAGATTCCGGCTGGGTGTGAAGAGGGCTTTCCAGCAGGCCTAGCTGACCCCCAGGGGAAGGAGCTGCCCCTGCCCCTGGCGGGGACAAGTCAGAGGCCACCTAAGGGTCTAGACTTAGGCTGGTGCAGGGGCCGGCAAGCGCCGGATAAAAAAAGACTGTGGTCCTTGGACAGGGCAGGCTTAGAGGGTCCTAAGCCAACTTAGCCTGTGTGGAGGTCACGTAGCCTGCAGGAAGGGGTGGCGTTTGAATAGAGGGGGGCCGTGGAGGTGGAAGGAGCCCCCCTACCCGTGAACAAAGGCCTGTGCTATTCTGGCAGCGAGGGGTTGGAGAAGACTGGCGATGAGGGGAACCACAGGAGATGAGGCTGGGAAGCTGGAGAGGGTGGTTGAAAGCCAGGTCAAGGAGACGACACTGTCCAAGGACAATGGGGAGCCATGGGGCTGAAGAGGGGGAGTGACAAAGTTGGCTTTTTGGAAAGCTCACTCAGATGTGCCCATAGTGATGGAGGGAAGATGAGAGGGCCTGGGTTTGGGGCAGAATGTGGGTGGATGGCAGAGCCGGGGAGAAGCGGGAGGCTCATACCTGGATTCTGACCAAAATTGGCAGGAGGACCTGGGATGGAAGCGCAGACCTGGGCTTTGAATAGGTCGTACCCAGTTTTGGAGGATTCAGAGAGAGCAATCTGAGGACGTCTGGTGCTTTATGGTGTACCTTGCCCTTTCCCAACCCCCACCTCACTTAGAATGCCCTGGGCCTGGGCCTCTGGAATGCCTGGGTGGGAAAATCCAGGCAATGAGCAGGGAGACTGGAACTGTCCTGGCTTGGGGGGTGAGGGGAAGGGGACCACAGGGCCAGGGAGGGGCTGAGAGAGTCCTTACCCTTCTGGGAAGAGGCCAGCACAGCCTCCAGCCACTGCTGCAGGGTGTTGTCACTGTAGATGGCTGGCGGGTGCGCCATGATGGGGACCCCTGTCTCGTTGGCTGTGTTGAGTCCTTCTATGTTGACGTCTGCCTCCAGGACCATGGCGTTGCCTGGGCGAGACGCAGAACTCG